TAGTAATTTTCTAACTCTACCACCTTTTCCATATTTTTAATTGGCATTCTGCTATAATAAAGGGTCTTCTTATCTCTCTTACTTTTTGATTTATCTATTCATTATTATTATGGATTCATGGATTTCTATGTTATTCAATGGGTAATAACCCATTACTGTCCTAATTTATTCTGATGCTCAGATTGTCCCAGATTTGGCCAGTTGGAGTACCTTTTGCAGCCTCATGTGGCCAACCTTCTTTGAGCAGTCCCTTACTTTTTGGCATAACATACAATGTTCCAAGCATATTTGGTACCTTCTCTGCTCCCGCCCTGGAATCTGACATTTCTACAAGTAGCGCTTTTCCTTTTGGTGGAAAATGGTATTTAGAAATCAAGATCTGAGAAAAATGGATACAGGCCATTTTTAACAAAAGGGCAAAAGATAGTACCTATGATCAGAACCCAAAGTTTCATTCTTAATTCAAGGAATCAAAAGTAAACTTAGTGCCAAAGAGCTTAACAAAGTTCAGAGCTCAGATTCAGTGTGAAACTCATCTCATCATTATGGGTAAAGTGACTTTGAATGGGTGCAGACCCAAAGATTCCCAAATGTGTTCATTCTTACCATATCAAAGAGGATGGAAACTGGGATCTCAACAGAATCTAGGTAGCACCTTCAAATTGTTAAAACTCAACAATAGAGGAACAGCAGTGACCTGCCTATGTCACAGTAATGGAAGTACCTTTAGCTTGCTGCAGCAAGAGAGAACACCCCATAGGCAAAGTTTAGGAACATCTTAATCTGGAAAAGTCAGGAAGGACTTTTAAATGAGTATTAGGTACTTATGGGGCAAAATAAATATCTTTTCTTCTGGGGCAAAATAAATAAAATAAGTACTAGTACTTGGATCAAGTGCTCTAAGTGGGTTTGTTTTTTTTTTTAAGATCTTATTTATTTGAGTGAGAGAGTGAGAGAGATCACAGAGGGAGAGGGAGAGACAGAAGCAGACTTGCTGCTGAGCAGAGAGCTTGAAGTGGGGCTCCGTCCCAGGACCCTGGGACCATGACCTGAGTTGAAGGTGCCCCAGGTGCCCCAGGAAGAATCAGTTTTGTAAAGAAAAATTCTCCCTAGGTTACAAAATTACTTAAGTAAAATTCCAAAAAAAAAAAAAATTCAGCATTTTTGTTTTTGACAGTAGAAAGCTGAAAGAGGATTTAAAAATTCATCTAGAGGAGGGGTGCCTGGGTGGCTTAGTTGGTTACTACCTGACTCTTGATCTCAGCTCAGGTCTTGATCTCAAGGTTGTGAGGGCAAGCCCTGTTTTGGGCTTCATGCTGGGCATGAAGACTACTTAAAATATAAATAAATGAAAAATAATTCGGGGCGCCTGGGTGGCTCAGTCGGTTAAGCATCTCCCTTCGGCTCAGGTCATGATCTCAGGGTCCTGGGACCGAGTCCCGCATCGGGCTCTCTGCTCTGCGGAGACCCTGTTTCTCCCTCTCCCTCTGCTGTTCCCCCTGCTCTTCTCTCTCTGTCTGTCAAATAAATAAATAAAATCTTAAAAAAAAATTCATCTAGAGGAATAAATTTGTGATTATTATGAAAATAATCAGGAAATCTGTGAAAAATAATACTGAATGGTATTTCATTTTTCTCCTGATTCTGTGCTAAAAAATATTAAAAAAAATAATAAATCCCAAAGGACAGCAATGCAAGGAAGAGTTTGGGTGGAAGAAGGAAGAGGCATGTATTATCTCCACCATCATCAAAGGAATTATAATAACCATATATAAAAATTATATTATATATAATTTATATTACATATAATTTATATATAATTTATATGTAACATATATAAATTATATATAATATATATAATTATATGTAATGTAAATAAGGAATAATGTAAATTATATATGTGTCCCATATATATAATATATATAAATTATATATAATATGTCCCATATATATCTTCCAGAATTAAAAGCTCTAAGTATCCAGATTGAAAAATATATATAATTTATATATAATTTATATGTAATATATAAAAATTATATATAATATGTCCCATATAT